TTTGTATTTGACTTGTGTTATTTTTTTTCTTAATTCTGTTGTTTGTTTTTCTATTTCTGTAGTGTTTTCTTATTTCCAATCTGTTTTATTCAACTTTTGTTTGATTTTTTTTTCTACATTTTTTTTCTACTGTGTTTTATTCAAAATCCATTGTTTTTGTGTTTTTTGTTGTTATCTTTTAGGGGGGAGGTGGGGGTACTCTTGTCACTTTCTTGTGTGTGTTTGTGTGTGTGTGTGTGTGTGTGTGTGTGTGTTTTAACTTGTTTTTGTTTCTGTTTCTGTTATGTGTTATTGAACTTTTGCTTTTTTCTGTTTCCATTGTGTTTTGTTCAACATTGTTTTTCAGGTTTTGGTTAAAGGATGTTTGACCTCTCAGGGCCACCGCAGAGCTCAGCCATGAACTATGTTAACATCTTATCAGAGAATAGAGTTTTGTTTTAAGACTAATTTTGACCTGACCCATGTCTTTTCAATTTCTGTTGTGTTTTTTGCTTATGCTGTGTTTTATTAGTCTTTTACTGTTTTCGTTTTTACTTCAGTCAACTTTTTTTGTTTTGTCTAACTTCTGTTCTGTTTTTTATTCAACTTTCATTGTGGGTTTTTTTCTAATTTTGTTTTGTTCAACCTCTGTTCTTATTTTCTTATTTATTTGTAACTTCTGTTGTTTGTATTTCTATTTCTGTTGTATTTTTTCCATCTTTCATTGTTATGTTGAGCCATGATGGTTTCTTAAAGCTAAATGTTCAGAATGAGAGCGATCATACAGAAAAGAATTGCAACTTGAAAATGCAACAAGTTTAGGAGACATTTCGTCTTGAGGCATTACTGCTGTCACTTTAGATCAGATTTTACAGAGTAAAAGAAAGAAAGAAACGAGAAAAGTCATAAAACCCTGAGTTTAAATGGGAGCTAATTTCAGTAGATGGCAGCATAATGGCAAAAACCCATTAGATCATATCAAGTTTGATGTCAGGGCACCACCAGCTAAGCATTTCCTGCTGATCTGAGAGCCTCGGTAGGCTTTCATTTCATAAATGACACATTTATAGATGAACAGAAGGCCTTAAATTAACTTCTGTGTGTAAGTGGAAGCCAGTGAAACACAAGAACTGGAGTAAAATTTGACAGAAAAAGGATTCAAACCTTTGAGCAGATGAAATTAAGCAAGACTGAGAAAAACACTGGCTCTTAAAAACAACAGTATGTGGTCTCCTCGGGGCCCAAATTCTTGCAAGCACAATGCAGGTTGTCATTAAAGAAGTCGTTGTAGCAAAACAGCGAGAAACAAAGTTCTGTCCCAGACTTTGTAAATATGTGGCAGAATTCACAAAAAATCTCTTAAATGTAAAAAATAAGAAAACTATTCAATTTGAAAATTTCAGTATCTGACATGTTGGGTTTTTTTTCCATCAGACATAAAGCCCTGACTTTTTTGTCACAACCAGCTTCTCTATATTCTCGGTTTAACCTGCTTTTGAAACTGTGATGCCACCAAACGTCTGTGTCTGCTGTCTCCCAGACGCTGCTGTAACCAAACCTACGCCAAACCAAACCTCTGTGTGTGAAGCACGCATCGGTGGAGGGGAAGGGTGTTCTCCAGCAGAGAGCAGTGAGCGGTAAGCTTGCTGCTGACAGCATCACTGCATGCATGTCTCGAACGCACGTAAAGTCGTGTTTAAGTTCCTCATATTGTTCTTGATTTAATTGTGCTTATGCAACATTTTTTGAAATGAAGGCAGGTGAAGAGGATGTTGGGACTTTTCTGTTCCTCCAGTGTCGGGCACTGACGTAACTATATTGCGTGATTGGTAATATCTGACTGAGCTTGCAGCAAAGCACCATGAATCTCGTTTTCAAACTAAGACAAGCATGTAAAGACCTCATTCAGGCACGCAAAAGCAGTCTTTGAAAGCAAATACATCAAGCAGGAGTGCATGCTTTGTTTGCTCTCTTTGAACACCGTTATGTATTACAGGCGATACTTTACCGCCTCTTTT